CTCTAAGTTTGGCTAAACAGTTGGCTAATAGCTACATTAGAAAAGTAAAAAACCCAATAACAACTAAACACGTGAACCCGCTGTCGTTTGATCATCAAAATTCTTATAAAAAGTTCAAATTCCAGTACTAGTTAAGGGTTAGGTAATTACATTGACTTTTCAGTGGCATTGCTTGGCTTGGCTTGACTTATATTTGGTGTGTTTTAACAATGAGTGTGCCTAAACCCTATATATATATAAAAACAAAAGCATGTTTAATTATGATAAAATAATTATCTTAATTTGAGTTTTTAGGGTTACTGAACTTGTAGCCAGCGAGTTGCTTTAGACATATATATACCGTCTTCTTTTCACACTTATAACATAAATTAACTATCACAATAATTTATGTTATAAGTGTGAGACACATTCGGCTTCAGTGCAATTAAGGTAAGAGAGGTGGAATGGAAGTATGACTGTCCTGTCCTCGCAGCGTAGAATTTATGTTATTATCAGATGATACATATTATGGAACCAAGTGTGCCATGCTAAAGGGCAGCAGGGATATATCCATCGGTGAAGTTTGGTAATATCATAATGGCACTCACTTAATATGTGAATTGCTAGTCGTCCTCCTAACCCATGACCAGTCTATATATATAAGACCAAGACCAAGACCAAGACCATGCACAGCTGTTATGTGAACCATCGCAATCCAACTGATCGAGCTAAACCAAACCCCACTAACATGACCAGACCATACCAGGTCAGACCACACCCTTTTTTTCTTTTGACTAAAGTTAGGAAGGAGGAGGGGGAAACTCACACACACTGGGTACCATGGGACTTGAACACAAGACCACTTGGGATGGGAGTACACCAAAAACCCGGGCCAATCCAACTAACACCTTATTAGTCCACATGCTTTATATATAAATATATCTATGTGTATGTATGTATCATCATATGTATGTATGGTCATTGGTCAGAGCAGAGAGCAGGGGACCCTCAACAGGATTAATGGAACACAAAAAGACTTGTCAGTTATAAAATCATAGTGCATGCTAGTACAAAAACTTCATTGTCATATGAAGAGGAGAAGAGGAAGAGTTGTTGAGTTGAGATCATTGTATTGTAGCTCTCTCTCTATCTCTCTCTCTCTCTCTCTATAAGATAATAATCTGCCGACTATTAACTTCATGCACCGCTGCAATTGGGACTGCATTAATTTTGTGCGGTGAGCAGTATGTGGCAAGCCACACAAAAACCAAAAGAAAACAAAACGAAGGAAAAGAACCATGTTATATATTAATTGTGTTAATATATGAGATCGAGATGATGAGAGATGAAATGACAAAAACAAAAGACTACAGGAGGAGAAAAAGTAAGGGAAGGAATAGGAAGGTGACCTGACAGGTTTCTGATCACAATCAAAAAAACATGGGAGGGTCCACTGGCACCGTTTGATTTATCCTTCCTTCCATCCAACCAACCATCCATCATCCTCCTTAATTGAAGAAGAGTCAAGTATTTGACCGTCTGACCAAACCCAGACCCTGACCTTGTGTTGACTTTCTGACATACCATTTAATGCTTGTCTTGAGTTAAAAAATAATAATAACAAAAAGACCCTCTTTCTGCTCCTGCAATGCAATCAACCTACTTCCTTTCCGTTAAGTACCCTCTTTCTGTTTGTTTGTCTTTCTCATATGCGCAACACAAGACAAGCACTGCAGCAGGCAGGATTCCCGTGAGTCTTATTTGACGTCACCATCCATTTTTACCAAACAATTACTTTGTGTGTTTTCTCTCAACGTGTCATTTTTACTACACTTGCAAGTTGCAACCAAACCCTAATTGTAATTCGCAGTACTCACTTACTTTGCTCAACTAAAAAGTATCAGTAGAGGAGGAGGAGGAGGAGGAGGAGGATATGGTGATGAATAAAACAGGGCAGGCAGGCACGGACCACGGTCAACACATTCAATGCAAGGCTATAGATATTATTGGTATGGTTTATATCAGTGCGGTAGTATAGACAAACTTCACAATTGCAAATTAAATTCAAAGCATACTTGTTTTGACAGCGAAACAGCATTCCCAGCAGCGGTGGTGGTAGTTTCATTTCTTAAATTAATGGGCCAAACATTTGATATGATCATGTGATGTGAGAGGAACTATTAGTAGCTTGTCTTGTGTGTGTTTTCGATCTTTCTATATCAACTTCATTCATTATTATTGGTCACACAATACTTGAAAACCATTACAACATAAAACTACGTACTAGTTACTTTTATTATATTCTTCTAACACTATAAACTTTTACGGACTATAAGGTAAACTACAAGTTACCAAATAACCGCTTAATTAACCCTTCAAACCGGCCGAACAAAACTAATTTTATTTGTTTGGTTCAATTTTAACTCTAGAAAAGTCTAATCTTGGACCGAAACAAACTAAATCTTAATTCATTTGAATTGGCTTATGTCGAACACGTTTATAGATATAGCACTTCACATTTTCTTATTAATCATCGTCATTTACTCTTATACAACATCATGAACATTGATATAACCTTTAATAGAGTTAGATTGTTAGTTCCTTACTTTGATGGAATGTTAAATTGAACTATTAATGGTCGTTTTCCCCTTTTTTTAAAAAAAAATTGTTTTGAAACCAATCCAAACCGGAGCACAACCATCCCAATAGTAAACTAACAAGTCAAAAACAACACACATATAAGTAATGTGAAGTGTTGAAAAATGATAATGCTTCTCTCATGTGGATGTTTTGTAAATGGTAAGGTAAACTGGTTTTGTAATATCATAAGCATAGTTGGGCTTTTTAAGCCCAGCTAAGTGCATTTAGCTGGATTTGATATAAGTTAATGAGGCCCAAACCAAGTTGTGCCTGTAACAGTACCTAATACCTTGAGTTTCTTGACCCAAATTTGTTTATATATATATATATATATATATATTTGAAGAAGAATTAAAAACCTTGAGTTTATTAGCTTTCTAAAAGACGAATCTTACTTGCAATTGGCTTGTAATTCAAGTGTTTAAGAGTATTTATCTTTCAACCTTAGTCCTAGGTTTGACTCTCCCTCTCCCAATATCACTTATATAGAAGAAAAAAAAATCTCATCAAGTTTTTATTTATTTTTAAATAAGTCACATCCCAATATAAAACTAACACAAAAAACTTCAGAGACATCTAAAAAAGGTAAATGATTTTCCCACTCCCTTTTTATCCACCTACACTCATTTTTGTTTAGAAAAATGGAGTGTAAGTGGATAAGAAAGGAATGGGAAAATCAGTACCCCTAAAAAACTCATGAATTTCTTTGAACACCCAAATTGGACACCCATACCTTACCATCAACCCCTAAGCTATCTTTCACTCTCAAAGCCATAATATACTTTACGGCTCATTTGGTGCCTAGAATTGTATTAGATTAAATAACTTTCTTCATTGTGTTATATTGAAGGAGGAAATGAATAGACGTGAATGATTTTTTATGTTGGGAAGATTAGAAAGAATAAGTTATAAGGTGAGATCAATTTCCTTCGTAAGTAATCCATCTTTTTACCTTCAACTTGGACAAAATTTATTCATTTCTTCATTCAACATACCTCCAACCCAACCCTAAGCACCATACGAGACTTAAGTCGCCTAAAAATTGCTTGCACTATATTTTCTAAGCCTTTTCTTCACTGCGAGTCCAAACTAAAACATGCCAAAAAATCTTCATTTGCTTCCTCAAAACCGTCATAGATGTTGGTTGTTTCATTAAGTAGGAAACACACAATATATCTAGTTCTAATGTGATTTAGGGGTTAAAGTGATATAGAAAGAGGTGAAAGGGAGATATGATTGTCCCAAGTAAATACATTAATCAACAATTGGGTTTAGTTTACAAAAACCTTTTGATATTTTGAGTAAAAAATGACCCATATTTCAGTTTGAGTTTAGTCAATATTATATTTTACACTTTTAGCTTAAGGTCAACTTTTTAAATTTTAATCTCCCCTCCCCACTCCTGCCAGGCATGGAACAGGATAAAACTTATTAGCCAAACATTCTTGTTCCCTGGTAAAGTAAAAATAGGTCAAAGAGCTTGATAACTTCATTTATCAAATGTCTCAAATCAAGTTACAGTCAAATTGAGTCTTTATCAAGTATAGGCATCGTCCTTAATACCAGAGCATTCAAATCACTTGAAGTTTAGATGTTGAAGCTTCATGATTATATCCCTTTCAAGTCGAGCTTGCCAGTTTTCATCCAAATTCAAAGCTTTTGCACAAGTACATTGTACCCTGTCAAAATGACGGTGTTGGAAGCAACAAGAAAAATTACAATCACAAACATTAACATGGGCAGTAAAACATGTTAAGTTTTCCATAAGCTAGTAAATATAACAGGTAACTGCAGTAAATACCACAATAGGTGACGAGATCATGGCACCAAATACTACTTCCCAATGGAGTGTTAGTTGGATTGGCCCATGCCTTTGGTGTGCTCCCGAGTGGTCTAGGGTTCAAACCCCCATAGTACCTTTGTGTGTGAGTTTTTCCCCTCCCCTTCCTAACTTTGGCAATTAAAAAATAAAAAAATAAAAAAATACTCCCACTTTTACCTCTGTAAATGTTTCAAAAATAAGGAGTGAGGTCATAGCATTCATGTTATAGAAAAAGGAAAATCAATAAATTATTGTATTCAAAATTGTTCAGCATGACACGACATTGAGTCATTCAGCAAGTACTCATAGAACTTCTTTTCTCAATATAATGTTAAGAGTAAAACTTGCTGAATCTAAACCATATATATAAGCCATTACAAAGCAAATTAAACAAATTAAAGATTGTTAATAAAAAAAACTTGACCTAAAATATACATGTATGTGCATGTGTGTGTTTTTGCATCTGTTCTGAAGGTCATAGGCAAGATGAAACAGCATGAACATAACTTCTTGTGTATTAAATTTTCCATTAGCAGAAAATAAGATGACAAGTTTCATCTCTAGTAGAACAGAACTGTGTTCCTGAAGCATCCTCTCAAACTCCTTTTGTGATGCTTTAATCTACACAAAACAAATGAATTGGCATGAACTCAAACAGAGATACATCACAACAGAGATTCATACATCAAATTATAGGGACATTATAGAACAAAATGGCAACACATCATACAGTTAACATGCCTTACCTCAGAAACCAATGCATTGCAGCTCCAAATGAAGGCTCCCTGAAAAATAACAGTATTATGACTCCATATCAGGTTGCTAAGGTCATGATTCAGCGAATGTTGAAGTACATCAGCCATGTGAACATACAAGATACCTAAATCTTGTTTTTCAAATTGTAAGGGAATAAAATAGCAACATCCTACAATATGGAAACAAGTTTATTTTTTCTTTCCAAGGATGGGGGGCCTCCACAATCTTGCTTGGCTTTGAAGCCAAGACACACACAACCTTTGTATTCGCAAGAAGACCAATGCCACTAGCTCACAGAGCTTTAAATTTTGCAAGTTTGAGGAATTTAAATACTAATTTTTGCAAGAGCGCTCCAGTGAATCGTCGAACAATATTACTGGTAGTATAAAACATGCAAAAAAAAGGAATTAGTAAAGCACAACTTAATCCAACTTAAACTCAAGGTTGTGGCTGCAAATAGCATGCTGCAGAAGCAACAAAATTTGTGGCAGCCAGAAGTGGGACATGTATTACCGGAAATACAAATATATTATACGCTTGGACTTTATGCATAAAAATTGGAACTCCTTGATTATTTTAACAGTTTAACAAAGATAACAGTCTAAATTTATTTAAAAGATTCAGCAGAAAAATCTCATTTACATTGGAATTATGAGAACACATACTGCTCCATGTGCTGCATGCGGCTGAATATGATCAAAAGTCACAACCCAAACTTTAGGGCATCCATCCTCCATTAAGGCTTTTTTTTGGGTCTGAACATCCTCCCTTAAGGCTACAACCTGTTATACATAGAAAAATCACAAGTTACAGATCAAGAAAAATAATTACACATAAAACAGATCAGAGAAACAAATACCAGAGGAAAATGGAACATTGTATTGCGAAGCAAACCAGTTTCAGGCCTAGAACGGTGCACAAATGCAGTTGTGTACTAGAACTGAGATTCAGGAGATCAAATTATTTCAAACTTCTGTACAATATTACTAGTAGTATAAAACATGCAAAAAATCAGGAATTAGTAAAGCACAACTTAACCCAACTTAAACTCAAGGTTATGGCTGCAAATAGTATGCTGCAGAAGCAACAGAATTTGTGGCAGCCAGAAACGGGACATGTATTACAGGAAATACAAATATATTATACGCTTGGACTTTATGCATCAAAATTGGAACTCCTTGATTATTTTAACAAAGATAAACAGTCCAAATTTATTTAAAAGATTCAGCAGAAAAATCTCATTTACATTGGAATTATGAGAACACATACTGCTCCATGTGCTGCTGAATATGATCAGAAGTCACAACCCGAACTTTAGGGCATCCATCCTCCATTAAGGCTTTTTTTTTTCTTGGAGTCAGACCATAGCACAAATACATTATATATATGGGAGGACTTGCTGGAACAAATATAAGGGTATGGGTTTTACGTATGGCGTGATTTTTTTTTTGCACAAAAGGGTTCATTCTGTGTATGGCATCAGTCACTTGAACCTCCTCACCAAGCAGACCCTAGGGGTGAGAAGCTGTAAATTACTTGTTCTGTTGGTGGGGCCCTAATGTCTCTTTTAATCTAAGAGTCTCATATTTCTTAAACATCACTTGGTGACTGGTGCACAAAGAGTTGCATCATGTATGCAGTACAGAAGTTTGAAATAATTTGATCTCCTGAATCTCAGTTCTAGTACACAACTGCTTTTGTGCACTGTTCTAGGCCTGAAACTGGTTTGCTTCGCAATACAATGTCCTATTTTGCTCTGATCTGTTTTATGTGTAATTTTTAATCTAAGAGTCTCATATTTCTTAAACATCACTTGGTGACTGGTGCACGAAGAGTTGCATCATGTATATTGCGAAGCAAACCAGTTTCAGGCCTAGAACGGTTGACAAATGCAGTTGTGTACTAGAACTGAGATTCAGGAGATCAAATTATTTCAAACTTCTGTATTGCATACATGATGCAACTCTTTGTGCACTAGTCACCAAGTGATGTTTAAGAAATATGACTTAGATTAAAAGAGACATTAGGGCCCCACCAACAGAACAAGTAATTTACAGCTTCTCACCCCTAGGGTCTGCCTGGTGAGGAGGTTCAGGTGACTGATGCCATACACAGAATGAACCCTTTAGTGCAAAAAAAAAAAAGCATTATTAGGCTTTAGCCTAAGGCTGTTTGCTTAAATTTAGGTCTTGTAGTAGACTTGATTAACAGAGTATTTTATGCCCTGGATTTCTGTATAAATTGTGTGTACTCCTTTCATTTGGATATGCAATACGATGTTCTTCATATCCCTTTCTCAAGTTCCTTTTCAACATGGTATTCAAGCAAATTTTCTATTGAGACCTAAACCACTGCTACCATTACCCTGTTTTTTCTCTTCTTTTTTGAGGTTACTGGAAATCTGTAAATTTATATCCACACATGGAAATGGAATGTCCATGTATGGCTATTAAGAGTTCTTCTTCATTGCAATGAAGGTTACATTTCAGACAGGATTGTTATAGAAAAGGTTAGAGATTGTTCTCTACGAAATGTTATAACTAGAACTAGTGACGATGTAAGGAGTACACGATGGGGTCATACTACTTCCTTTTGGTCACAAAAATCACTTCTCTTAATGAATAATAAAATAAACTGTTTGTTTTTGTCCAAATATAAGCTTATCAAGTCCTCCAATATATATAATGTATTTGTGCTATGGTCTGACTCCAAGAAAAAAGTTCTAGAGAATGATAAGCTTATACTTGGACAAAAACAAATAGTTTATTTTATTATTCATTTAGAGAAGTGATTTTTGTGACCAAAAGGAAGTAGTATGACCCCATCGTGTACTCCTTACACCGTCACTAGTTCTAGTTATAACATTTCGTAGAGAACAATCTCTAACCTTTTCTATAACAATCCTGTCTGAAATGTAACCTTCATTGCAATGAAGAAGAACTCTTAATAGCCATACATGGACATCCCATTTCCATGTGTGGATATAAATTTACAGATTTCCAGTAACCTCAAAAAAGAAGAAAAAGAATAGAAAAAACAGGGTAATGGTAGCAGTGGTTTAGGTCTCAATAGAAAATTTGCTTGAATACCATGTTGAAAAGGAACTTGAGAAAGGGATATGAAGAACATCGTATTGCATATCGAAATGAAATGAGTACACACAATTTATACAGAAATCCAGGGCACAAAATACTCTGTTAATCAAGTCTACAACAAGACCTAAATTTAAGCAAACAGCCTTAGGCTAAAGCCTAATAATCAGCCATTAAGCTAAATGTCTAATAGCTGAAAGGAAAATTTTGCGTTGTTTTCTTTACCACTCTCATCTATGAACCAAACAAAAGAAAATTATAGAATATAGAACATTCTTTTCTTTTGCATTCCACGTGGATTTTTACCACCAAGCTTCGTGTTAAGCACAAATCTGGATTCCTGCAGCCATCTTGTAATCGACGTGTTTAACATACTAAGAAACTCCAATTTTCCAAAATTTTATATCCACCAAACCGCAAACTTTTTTCTTAATCTGACATTGTTGCTTCTGGAACAAGCAAGTTACCGTTCTTGGGGGTACTGCTCATAGCCACAAAACAGCTTCCCTGACTTGGTTTCCTCTTTTTCCCTTCAACTCCTGACCCCTTCCCCTTTCTTTTCACCATAAATCCTTCACTCTAAATCTTCTACCCCAAAAGCCTTGCTGCCATAAACAGCTTGCAATAAAAGACATAGCTTGTCAAGTAACTCTTATTATATGCAGTGATCTATGTTAGATTTGGTATTAGAGCCTAGTAGCCTACTACATCTCACCATCCTGCATCACAATTTTTACCTCGAGCTCAATAAAATATGGGATGTCCTATTTCAAATAAATAAATAAATAAAGCATGGGATTTTGTGTTACCAACGAAATAAGAACCGCAGACCCAAATCAGGAAAACAAACAAGTTTTATTTCACTTTTCAAGCGACTGCACTATTCTAAAGTTGGTTTCAGCTTCAAGTCATTCCTCACCTCTTTCTCAATCCACGCATCAGCACAAGATTCACTTGAGGAAACTACATCAACTCTGCAACATCGTGAATTCTTAGGATTACAGTTCCTTAGATGAAGTTTGTTAGTACCAAGGTGATTTAATCAAGCATATAAATTACCAGCTGAGTGTAACTGTTTTTTTCATTAATTTAAAATTTGAACTTTCAAGAAGACAAACTTGCCATTCTGGATGACCTTGACGAATATCAGAGCAATAGAGTTACTAATATGTCATTTTCCCACCAAAGAAATAAATATAAGAGATAAAAGTTTATGGAGAATCTGGAAAATGTAAACCACTTCATCAATCAACTAAAGTTACAGAAGAAAAAGGTTATTAAATCATCTCTTATGATGTCTAACGAGGCAACATGCAAGTTTGTTGTGATCACATAGTCCGGAAACCCTAAACCCTAAAGTCATATTCAATCCTGGACTGCTTTCTCCATTGCACACCGATTTACTTTGATGGATTTCAATTGGTAAGTATAAAATAAACTTAGGAAACTATAAAAGGCACCTATGCGAACTTAACAGAGACAGCAAAACTAAATGACATAGAACATAAGATATCAGACTACTCAGTTAGTTATAAATTTAAGATCCAGCAGTTTGGTTTGCGCTGCTATTTTTTGAGCTGACGCTCCACATCGGAAGTAAATGGAAATTACAAAATGCATAAACATTGAGTGAAAAAAACTTAAAAGCAGAGTATCAAACCCCATACCCACCTAAAATTGTTCAACAGTCTTGTTACTATTGTATTTCTCAAGCCACATAACTACTATTGGAAGAGTGGGAGAAAGAAATAAAATAAAAATTAGAAAGAAAACAAAAACTTAAAAATATGATTTGTTAAACAGATTGCATATGATGCAAAGCTCTTTCGCAAGGACATGTCAAGAAAAAGGATATTTTCATTACAAAACACACTCACTAACACCACAACTTCTTATAGTCTATGGAATGTAGTCAACAAAGACAAGACAACAAAACACAACGCACCTTATTCTTGTTCTTTTCATCCTTTGTTTCTTAAAGAAATCATTTCAGTTCTTTTCAGTCTAAAGAGCCAACTGCACATGCATGACCAAGCTAATATTTTCAGTTCTTGATCCATGACCAATGGGAACTGCACATACAACCTAATCCACCAGCTCCATTCTCAGCCCAGAGTCACCACACATCCCTTCAACTCTTCAAAGGCCTTTCTAAAACTCAGCGTCTTCTTGTAAGAGAACTATTGTGCATGTCAAGCAACCTTTCAAGGGATACCAGAGACCAGCTTTCCTCTGTTTGGGCATATACCTTTTGATTTAGAGAGTCGACTATTATGCTTACATTACCAAAGCCATATATCTGGTGACCATTATGCATCCGCCCAGGTTTAGGCCTAAATAACAGACCATGCTGCTGCGCATGGGCTTCAATAACATCTTTCAAGCTCATCTCATTACCACTGCCATCCATGTGAGCAGTGCCACCCAAGTTTGCTTGTGCAGCTGCTGCTTTCTGTTGTGCCTCAAATTGCCTTTGCTCAAGCACCCTAAGGTAGCTAATATTCTCTTTCAAACCAGGTTGGACCACCTCCATACCCTCAACAGCCCGATTCATCATGTCAAGACCGCAATTAAGCTGATACCGGATACTTTCATTTGCATGAAGCTCCTCAGGAATGAGTTCCTTCCAACCTTTATACCAATTCAAAACCTCTTCAAAGTTCGGGTTCGAACATAACCAGTGATACAAAACCTGTAGCCACTTGGTGAAGAAAAACTTCTCCATCATATCTACCATTAGATGAATTGGAATAGCAGAAGCCCAACTCATCACCCAATTAAACTGATCAAGTCTCTGATTTGCAGGGTTCACTTGGAAGTCTTGTAGGACAAGCTGCAACTTGGGTACTATAAATCTATGCATGAGCTGTTCCCAACTGGCTGAATCAAACACCTTCTTCCACGGCGAGAGTATGGTATAGGCAGAGGCATCACTGGGGTGCCATGCACCGAGAACGTTACTCAACTTGAAGCGTATTGTGTGATACAACTCCTCCAACTTGTGTCCCAAAAGTGGTAGCCATGGATGCACCCACACATGGATGGGAACAGTGTCCCGGTGAGGTTCCCACAAGTCAACTGCGTCCTTCAGTTTGGGAAAGACTACCATATCCAATATGGCATGAAGGACAGAAGAAGGTAGCAATTTCTCCCAAGACTCCAAAAAGCGAAGCATGGGTTCAGGGTCCTTGGCCTGCCAGGTATTGATGCCAGCAATCCTCACGGCGGGTACCACAACCTCGGAAACCAATTGGGTGTAAGGCGGCATTGTATTATCCCAAATATCAAGGTACTGTTCTCTCTCCCCCTCTCCATGAAGCAAACCCTTCCATGAGGATACCACATTCAACCCATGGGACGGGTTCCTAAGAGGATCCCAACCTTGAAACATCCTGATAAACAGAGGTAGAGCAAAAGAACAGGCAATACAAGACAAGTTACATATTTTATAGTCGTCAGCGTATCTCTTCTGTAGGTCACCAAAGTCCTTTGCCAGGGAGTCCAGCGTCAATGTTCCCATGATATTCTCTTCTCCCAGTCGGTCTAACACGCTCATAATATCCCCCAAGCTATCCAAGTGTTGCTTCTGTCTGGCTACCTCCGTTGCCAGCCTCTCTTTCTCCTGGTTCAAGCTGATCGCCGTGTCCCTCTCATTCCTCAGATCCCTATCAATCTTCTGAATATCCAGCTCAGCTAAGTCCAGAATCAACCTCAGGTTGTGCTGTAGCTCAGGCATGGGAATATCCTCTTCCCTCGCTTTCTCTTCGGCATTCAAATTCTCCAAATTGGTCAAGACTCGAACCTGGGGTCCGCGCATATCAACCACCTTGTGCACAAAGACCTCGGTACTCTCTTCCTGCTTCTTGGCTAACAACTCCTTGGCAGAGACATAGTGGTCCTTATTAGCCCTGTTGGCAACGGCCTTTTTCCAGGAAAGGCTCTTTTTGGTGGTGGTGGAGGAACTGGCCGCGGGCAAAGGCTTGCTCGGCTTTTCAGCTTCCAATTCTTGCAAGCCAGGCCTCTTGATTTTAGTCTCCTCGTAATCATTAAAACCCATACCCATATTTTTTGGCCTCAACTTGGCTTCAATAGGAGCGAGAATCCCTTGCTGGCTCTTGCCAAGTCCACCTCCTTTGTAGCCCATGTTCTTAAGCATCTTCATCCCAATGCCCTTGGTGTGTTTCTCAAAGGCCCCCAGGCCCCCATCCCCGCCGCCCCCCCTTGCTCCTCCTAGTCCAAACTGAGATTCTTCAGAATCTCTTCGACTTCGAGATTGGATAGTAGTCTGCTTCAGCAATTTGAGCTTTTCCCTCTCCTTCTGTCTCCTCTCTGCTCCCTCCTTTATTTTCTTCCCAAACGCCGTCGGCAGAAAATTGCTGTCATTTTCCTCATCCTCCTCCTCTCCACCGGTGGGATCCGAATTCGAATTAAAACCTAAACCGGAATTCAAATTATTAAAACCCAAACCTGAAGCCGTAGCGGCACCAAAGCCAAGGCCACTGGTGGCAACGCCGGTAGCGCCGAGGTCATCGTTTTGCTGCTTTGAATTGTTGTCCATCTCCTGGTTGGGCATGACGATGCCGGTGGAGACGAAATTGACGGGCTTGGTGAGGTCGACGACCTTTCGATCTTTCCTGCGTTTTCTGGAGCCCTCGTTGTCTTCATCGTCGTCGTCGGAATCGGCAGAGAATATGCCATAGAGTACATCGTCTTTGGTCTGGACGCGCTTATCCTTGCGCTTGCGATAATAGAACTCGCTGCCGATCCATTGGCCGTCCTCGTAATCCTTCTCCATGCCAAACCTTTCCATCTCTTGATAATCATCCATCAGGAAAAACAAGCCTCAAGGCAAAATTAGATGACCGAAACCCTAACAAAACCTAAGGCAAGTCTAGAACAAGGGGCGAGGGAGTGGGGAGGAACGGAGAGAGAGAAGTGGGTTGTCTTGAGAAGTTTATCAATGATACAAGTATGGTTTTGATTGAGATTTTCTATTTAAACTCCGCACTTCTTTTCACCCCATCTTTTAATTTAAATTTTCACAATTTCTAAGAAATCCCCACTATCTTCCCAAACTATCCTTAAATACACTCCAAATTGAAAAAAAAAAAGAAAAAAAAAAAGAGATTTTCTATTTAAATCCCACAATTTTTTTTTTGTTCCTAACAGAAAAAAAAACACAAACAAATGAAACCCCAAACTCGAAATTTAATACTTTCTAGAGAAAGAGAACAGCTTTACCTCTTTCCAAGAACTGTAACTGGAATTCCAACACTTGGGGTGTGTGAGGTGTCTGTATAGATGTACTAAGGTTAATTATTAAGTTGGATGACCTTTTTTTGTCTTTTTACACAATAATAAAACTTACAGCTTAATGATTTAAGTATTGAGATGAACAAAAAGAAGTGCGGGTTTAAATAGAAAATCTATTTTGATTTTTGGGTAGTGCTCAGGGGATTAACAAAGGGTTTAATGGGGATTATGTTGGCCTTTAGATTCAGAAACGAGTTCAATTCTTCCATATATTGCTTATGGCTTTGGTTTGTGTTTTCTTTTTTCTTTGTCACTAATTTTGCATTCAATTAAAAAACTCATCAACCCCACACCCTGCTATCTTGCCCCTCAACCTCACATTACTTAAAAGAGAGAAAAACATTGTTGTCAAATGTGTAGCAGCATTATTTTATTATTATTATTATTTATTTTGTTAAAAATTTGAGAATAAACTAGGAGGTTTTGATAAAGAAATGTTGACAGTTAAATTGATATGGGAGGGGTGCTGGGTTTTGCTAGGGTTCAAAACACTTTCCCAAATTGTTATATAAAATAAAATCAACCAAATTTGTCAATCTGTTTTTTTGTTTTTGGGGTGAATGTAATTGGAATTTGATCAAGAAAAGCAGTGGATAATGAGGGCTGCGGATGGTTCAAAGTGAAAAAGGTGTAATTTTTCTCTTTCTCGATTGCCCCATTTTCTTCCATTGCCAACATTAACATTAAGTATGCAAAGAAAAGTTTAGGCAGCGTCTCTGGTGCTTTCTTTTTGAGAGCACAGAAACACTTGAAGCTGCTACCTCCTAAAACCCCTTTGCTCTCTCTCTCTGAAAAACCAATCACTCTCTCTCTCTGAAAAACCAATCAAGTCTAAGAGTGGCACACACAGCAATGGCAAGCTCACTAGAAGAGACCAAGCTCAAGAGGTTCCTCCGGTGGTTATAGGTGCCCATATGTTTGTGTTTTTCTGAAATTTAACATGAAGAGTGGCGGGGATGTGTGTATAGATGTATTAGGATTAAGCATCAAGTTGGATGACCTTTTTTTGTCTTTTTACACAATAATAAAACTTAGAGCTTAATGATTTAAGTATTGAGGTGAACAAAGAAAAGTGTGGGATTTAAATAGATTTTTTTTTTTTTTTTGCTTCCACTTTCCAATCTCTGCAAACTTTAACTCAAAATAGTTAGTAATATTCGGAACAGTAAAAGTACGAATAAAATATGTACATGTTTTATTCAGAATTTTTTTTTAAAACTACAAATGAAAAGTTCAGGCACTATATAATATTTTAATATAATCTATTTATAATTTGTAATATATATTTTTTTATTCAATAATATATGAAAAATACGTATATAATACGTGAATTTTGCGTGTATTGTAAGTTTGTAAAAAAATACATGTATTAAACGTGATAAATATGTATGTGTATAATAATACGTGTATTGTACATTTGATTTGAAAAAAATGTGCATTTTACTAAGTATTTCACACATGTACAAAAAACGGAAGTATTTTTGAAAAATACTTATGTTTGGGTATAATATGAGTATTATATAGGAAAATGCTAACTAGGTCAAAATTCAACTCTACTCTAATGAATTATGTGAGGAATTTATAACAAACTCAAACTTAGAGATAACACGATAAAAAGAAAATTTAGAAATCTAGAAAAACTTGAAATCATACTCAAATCCGGAAAATTTAGAGGACCTAGGAAACTAACAAATAAATTAGGAAATGGCTAATGACATTATACGCCGCTCTACGTTTAGTGGAATTATCAAAATGGGCCACTTGGTTTCAATTTCATTAGTTTACATCTCAACGTTTTCAATCAGTGTATACATTTCGTTAATTTGATTGGCTTATCATTCGCAAATGAAGACCCATTTTTGTGTGGAGATGTGTCAATAAAAATAATAAAGATTCCTTAAAATAATAAACATTAATTATTTTTTTAAACCAAAAAAAAAAAAAATTGTCCAAACCCTGTAACCTTCCCCTACCCGCAAATAAATTATACAATAATACAGTATCACCATGTCAACTTGTGATACTCCCACTCATAATTTTCCATGTGTCTTTTTTAATAGAAAATTTGAATTGTTTTTCAAGCTGGATACTAGGTTCCAATTTTATATTTAAACAAGTTTTAAAAAAACAATTAAAAACTCTTTAGGCATCTCTAGTTTATGTTAAAATATGAATATGGTTTAAATATTTTAGGTTAATTATATTCTTTTCAATCAATATATATATATATAGGAGTTTACAATGGTATTTTACAAGGAAATAGATACAGTAATTAATTAGGAGAATATCTCCTAATTATACAAGGATGTGTCGACTATATAAAACAAGGAAGTAAATCACCTAATTAACTTAGGAAATAAATCTCCTTGATTTAGTAGGTTAAGTCACGTCAACACTCCTCCTCAAGTTGGTGCATACACGTCACCAATGTCTAACTTGGTAAGTGAGTCATAAAACACTTGTCCACAGACAGCTTTTGTTAAGACATCGCTAATTGATCTTCTAATTTTACAAAGGGTAGACATATGATCTTGTTCTCAATTTTTTCTTTGATGAAATGTCTATCCACTTAACATGTTTAGTTCGATCACGTTGAACTGGATTATGAGCAATATCGATAGTTGACTTGTTATCACAATGTAACTCTATCGGCTTCTCTGGTTTACCACAATAATTCACAAACTCCTTGAGCCATTCCTCGATACTATGCTTCTTCACTAGACTAAGAAACCACATTTTGTTTTTTACTCCACCATGACTAGGTTACCTCCAACAAATGTAAAGTAACATGATGTAGAGCGTATATTTGTAATGTAACCAACCCAATCATTATCTATATATCTAACAACTTCAAGATTTCCATTATTTAAGAACATTAATCCTTTTTCAGGGGCTGACTTTAAGTATCTTAAGATCTGATCAACTACATTCCTATGAGAAACACTAGGTGAATGCATAAACTGACTAACCACACTCACAACATATGCAATATCTGGTCTTATGTGTGCCAAATATATCAACCTTCCAATAAGGTGCTGGTATTGTTCCTTATTGATTGGCAACCGGTCCATGTCTTCACACAACTTGTGATTCATCTCAATAGGTGTGTCAGCAGGCTAATATCCAAGCATTCTTGTTTTAGTGAGTTGATCCATTATATACTTCCTTTGAGACAGAAATATACCGGTTTTTGACCTTGCTACTTCAATTCCAAGAAAGTATTTCAGAGCACCTAAATCCTTCATCTCAAATTGATGAGACAAATACTTTCGTAGCTTCTGTTGCTATCCTGTGTTGTTCCCAATTATGACCATGTCATCCACGTAGACGATTAATGCAGTGATTTTTCCTCCATTACCCTTCAAGAAGAGGGTATGGTCTGAATTACTTTGAGTGTATCCAAAATTCTTCATGAACTTAGCAAATCTTCCAAACCATGACCTGGGAGATTGTTTTAACCCGTATAATGACTTTCTGAGCTTGCAAACTTGATTCTTCTTGTTATGAGCTAAATTACATCATAGTGGTAAATCCATGTATACCTCTTCTTCCAAGTTTTCATGTAAGAAGGCATTTTTAACATAAAATTGATGTAGTGGTCAATTTAGATTTGTTGTTAGGGACAGTAGGACTCTAATGGTGTTGATTTTGGGTACTGGGGCAAAGGTCTTTTGATAGTCCACCCCATACCTCTGTGTATACCACGTTGCCACCAATCTAGCTTTATATCTTTCAATGGATCCATCTGCTTTGAGTTTTACAGTATAGATCCACATGCATCCCAATGTCTTCTTTCTATAAGGTAAAGACACGAGCTCTTATGTGGCATTCTTCTAGAGGGCTCACATTTCTTCATTAATGGGTTCTTTCCATTTTGAGTCTTCTAGTGCTTCATTTACACTATTTGGGACATATATATTGGCTAACTACTTCACAGAGTGTACATGCGACTCTGCTAATCTACTTAGAGATATATAATTATTGATGGGGTATTTTCCTTGGCTTTAAGATCTGCTTAGTACTGTACTTGAGGTTTACCACGGTTCTTCCCTTCTGGAAACTGATATATAGGGGTATTTGTATCCTTTCTGCTTTTTGAAATCAAATTATCATAGTATATTTAATTAGTGTTATTAGTTCCAGGGGGATATGTTACCTGAATGACTTCCTCAAAAGGTGATTAGTGTGGTATTAGAGATGAAGGAAGGTCCGGAGTGGGCAAAATCTCATAAAATAGTTCAATTTCCTCCTCATGGGTTTGGCAGCGTGGTGTCGACTGGTCGTTTTTCACTAGCTACATAGGCTCAATGTTCAGCAAATAGGGACAAAGCAACTGGTCGTTTTAACACAGTGGCTCCACCTGTGAAAGAATAAAGGGGAGTGGCCAATGGTGTGGGAGAGGCGACTAGTCACTTTGAGGCAGAGACGCCTCATGTGGATGGATAAAGGGAGGCTACTGGTTGCTTTGATGCTGAATCTCTTTCGTTGTAAAAAAAAGTCCAGAAAAGTCAAGGTGTTTGGCTCTACATTCTCCTCACGTGCTTTTGAAAAATATATGTCGTGTTCCCGGAACACTACATTCATGGAGGTATAGATCTTCTGACTTGGAGGGTGATAACATCGGTAGCTTTTCTGATGAGAGGCATAGCCAA